TCTGCGTCAATAATTGGCGGCTCTGCTGGTACCGGATGATTTGTGCACAGCAGCCGAGCCCGCGGTGGGAACAGTCGCTGTGTAGCCGCGGACTCATTACGTGTGTAACAATGATTTCGGCGGCCGGTGGCAGCGGCACGATGACTTCTCAGCGGCGTGACATAATCTTTCAGCAGCAGCGCGCAAACTCGCTAGCTTGAACAATAGCAACACAAGCGTTTTTAGAAAAATGAAACGAGAACAACAACTCGAACCAACTTCTACGCCTGCGCATTTGGTCATTCGAAAGCAAATAAGGCGGAGAAAGAATTCGGTAAGAGTACAGCAAAAACAAAAAAGTTAAATTTGTAAATAAGAATGCCAGAGGGGTGAAAGAAATAAAAGTAAGGTTAATGAAAAACGAAATTACATCCAACCAAAACCCTTAAAAAGACAAACAAATTAAAAAAGCCACTAGCGCAGGAAAAAAAATTAATCGCTGGCGGCGGTTTGCGTGGGCTTAAGGGGCTGGTGGAGGGGCTTGCAGTAAGAAAGTGATTTACATAAATAATGAGGCAAGCTTTCGTGGCGGTCAAGAATTTTAAATAACAATTTTTCGATTTTATTAATAGCATTTTTGGGGAGGTTTTTTGCCTTTCTTTTGTTATTCGTTGAACACTTTTTCTTGTTTTTAATGGATTTTGCTTGTGATTATTCTTACATTTTTGTGAACGTATTAGTTTCCAAAACGTGTGGGAATGTAGCAAAGCGTTGTTCCTTTCACTTCGCTCTCGCTTTATTTGAACATAAACATTTTATTGTGTTTGTTGTAATTACGTGACTTTGATTTCACTTTATGGTGAAATTATATAATTTTGGAAATTTTTGGATTCATGGCCTGCCTTCGACTGGCGGCATAACAAAACAAAGAGAACAAATGGAATGAAGTAAGCGAATCAAGAATACTTTCAGAAAGAAAATTTAAATATCGAAAGAATTTCGCCACAAATTCTACAAATTAACTTTATAAAACGCACTAGAAGAAAACCTCGATTCTAAAAATAATAAGCATACTGATCTTAACATCAGATTCTTATAGTTTAAAAACAAAATGCGCCCTAGAGACATTGGAACTCTCAATTCTTGCCAATCAAACACCATGCATTGTGCGAAAAACGGGCAGAGATCACTGAATGATAACGCTCCACGTGGCTGTAACGGCCAAAAAAAAACCTGGAAACGCCGAAAATGGAGGTCTTGCTTTACCTTACTTCTTCCGACTACTGGCTTTTCGATTTGGAGTGGTTGACGGTTCGGGTCTTACGAAGAAATCGAAGAATGGCTCAATGATGCAACGAGGAAGATGAGAAAAAGTAGTTTCTTCCCCAACTAAAAGATGCCTTTTTGAACTTAAAAAATAGACCGAAGTAATTTCTACTCCCATAAATAAATTTGTTTTGGAAAATATGAGAAAAAAGTCGTAGTTAATTATCGAACAATCCCCAATCGATCTATGAAAAGAGCTGAGTAGATCTGATATTAAAAAAAATGCTTGAAGGGATGGAAAAGCTCTCAGACGCTGTCATACATATCGAAATAGCTTTTCTGCGGTGATTCACCAGGCGAAAACGCTTGAGATGTGTTTAAAAAAATGATGACCAATCGAGAAAATAAAATAAAAGTAGTCAATACTTAATTAGCAAAGTTCGCTCATACACTGTAATGATATTTTTGTTAAAGAAAATAAAAAGAATTAACACGATTATGCCGCCGCACACTTGGTTTAATGATCCGGTTAAATCTAACGTTTGCTACATACATATATATATAAAATAAGCCTAGATGATGATGACTTCACAGAAAATTTAATTACCTATCCTGTGCTTTGGATAATCTTCAGGCCTTTTTAATTATTTATGGTTTATTATTATTTTTTTTTTAATTCTCTTGCCTAGCCATTGTTAAAATAACGTGATGACGGATTTAATATCAAAAATTTTGTGCACGAGGCGCTTAACGAGTTCTGTGCAGAGAGCATAACCAGTGTTTAGAGAGATATATGCACATAAGTACAATAATATATGAGTAATAATTATTTCCGTAATGTTTTTATTTTAGTTATTATAATTCTTTTTTAGACTCATTTGACTCAAATTACTTCATTATCATGAACAATGGGTATGGGTAAATGCCATAAGAGCCTCTTTATGTTTTGGTTCTCATTTTATTTTCGTAGTGTCATAAATATGTAAATAAATACCATTGATTTCTTTAATTAAACCTCACTTTCAAGAATATTAGTGCACAATTTGTATATGTATGTAAATGAATGTTGCTTATAATGCAATTCTGAAAGCAAAAAAGCATTAAAGAGGAAAACAGTCAATAACAAAGCGTTGAATTGTTTTTTCTTTCACAAAATGTGAAGTTGCGTAATAATAATATTTATATTAAACATTAAGCACAATAAATGGTGCTAATCCTTGGCTAAATTTGAAATACTGTTGTAATAGCCGTCTGAGAAGCACAACTGCCACGAAAGAAAAGAATGGTCTACCCTATTATATGCCTCTAATTTGTATATAATTTCTAACTCTTCTATGCAACCCTGATATTGCAGTCAAACTTCAAATATGGCCCGTCATGCAAGATCAACATATTTTGGTTTAACCTTGAAAAATTTATTGTATTTCGCAATTTCGCGTACATTTTGTGATACCTGAAAATATCTTTTGACAACAAAGAACACATATTTACCAGACGTCCAACAGCTTTACACAATATATTATATATGCTTTATCTGGCAAATAAAATTTAATACAGTTTGAAGGTGGAAGAACACATGTCATTCTAATCTTATCACAAAGCAATCTAGACGATTTGGGTATAATACATTTTGCCAAAAATAAGTGAATCACCTTAAAATTTGCTAAAAACAAATATATATATATTTTTTTCAAATCTTAACATTAAATGATCGGCAGGTGTGCCAGTGTGTAGCTATAAAATGTTTTAGTTCAATTTCAATAGCATTTGTCCCACTGTGCTTAATTGTTTTTTGATTAGATATCTCCCAAATTTTGTATAAAAATATGATTAAGTGCTAAATATGCTTTAATAATTAAAAATAATTAATTAATTTTATGGAACTTTTTTACTACTTCAACATTTTTAACAGAAAAAAATTATCCTTTGATGTCTGAAAGGATTCAATTTTTAGATATGGTATGCGAAAGTCAATCAGAGAGATGGGAAGTTGGCAAAACAAAACTTGTACAATAATAACTTTTAGCTTGAAGTGTTTTGAAACTTTAAAATGAAATTTGCTGAGTATTTTCTGATCGGCTCAGTGAAATTTAAATTTATTCTGTGCAAAATTTTTTTTATTAAAATACTCTTTGTTTATTGTTGTTGTATTTTCATTTGTTTTACAAATGCCACATATATACCTACTTTTATATGTATGCGCATATGTCCATAAATGTGTATGATTAAATCCATTCACTTACTATGTGGTGCAATAAACTTATGCTTTTCTATTTTTCCTTCATAATCGCAATTTTTCACGTACTTAAATACATACATACATTCATGCATATATACATATGTCTATAGATATGAAAATATGTCTATCTTACACGTGCTTTTCGTTTTTCTTTTCCATATAGTTTTTCTTCAGTTTTCCACATTAGATAGATGTTTGCATAATCAACCACAAACACTTAGACGCTCAAACACACACACGTGTACTCAATTTTATATCTAAAGTTAAGCCTCTAGACGATAAATTGAGATCGCGCTCGATCGCCGTAACAATTGCGTGGCATAGGCAATTTTGCTAATAAATATTAATTTTCTTCTAAGATTTGTTTACATAATTTGCCCATAGAGCGCATACATTTAGACGCTTAGATGCTAAAAAAATCAAAGTAAGAAGTTAGAAATGATTTTTTTCATATAAGACTTTTCTCCTATTTATTAGGGCAAATGAAAAAAGAAATAAATAAATAAATAGTGAAGTCGCTTCACTTATGGTTCGTTGGTTCCAGTGAATTTTTATTAATTGTGTGCAAAAGCTTCATTGGAAAGAACCAAGAATTCAGCTGCGTTAGCCAGAGAAGAGTTAGCTAAGTTAAGCTCGAAGTAAATATTTTTCGGGACATACGGAGTGATCGCTCCTAACTTAAAAACTATACGCGTAGAAGAACAAAAATCAAGAAACGGTCGAGTCGCACGAATAATTAAGATTTGCATATTGCAGTCGACTGAATTTTTACTTATCGAGCCGGATGCAATGAGACATCGCACGACGCTAACCACCTTTTTGCTCGCCCCTTAAAGCCTTCTCATCGAAACCCTCCTTTCCCCGGCCAGAACCCGTCGAAACAGCTAGTTTACTGTGTCTGCCGTTAGGTGATCTCGATGACTAAGACTAGCCCCCCTTGCTCTTATGTAGGATTGTATATCTGCTACAAAAACAGTAACATTTTTGGGATCCCAAAACCTTTAAGATTTGCATCTTAAATAATTTATAAGTTATCCTTCAGACTCAAGTCTTTAAAGTCTTACTTTCTATACACCAAAGGTGGTAATATAAAGGAAACACCTTCCAGTGTTTTTAAGATATGAAAAACTCCTGTTCATAAAAATCCACCAGACTTTCGGAGGCGGTTGAGGACAAACTGTTGGTCCCGCTGTTTGTTGCACACCAAAAATTGGAGGAAAAGCTTGTTCGAAAATCACTACGACGCTAATAAGCCTTAAATTTTTAGTGGGGAAGGGAAGGAATGGGGGTTCTATTTGACCAAGAATATTCAGAATATTTTTTTTTTATCTAACTAACAATGATTTTATCAAAAGCAAAACTTTTATTTTTAATAAATTATTCTTTGTAGTTTATATGAAGCATAAAATCACTCTCTTCAAATTTATGACTGATTCTCAAGAAATTTATGGTTGGTAACGCTAAATCCAGTTTTTACCGTAAATACAATAAAAAAACTTCACTTCATGATATTTACCTTATTTACTATTTGGTAGTAAGATTTTTTATCCAAAAGAATTGTTTTTGTAACACCATTAAAATACGCCTTAAATCCAGGTAGTTTCTTCAAAGCCAATATATTCGCAATTCTTAAAAATTAAAAACTTTTGTCACAATGGATCTTGGATCCTTTTATCGCTTGTTTTTCGTGTACAGCACAACAATTTATTTATCAAACACTATAAATTGGTTTTGCTTTAAGCATAACCGCCAATATTTATTTTTTTTATTGTTGGCACAATTATTCTTGGGCTCCAAGACACACTCTGTGGTAAATATTTTTGAATTTTTTATTTAGCGTTGAAAATTTTATTTTCCATAAAATAATATTTCAACTTTTCCTTAACACTGGTATCCATTTATTTCTCTATTTATTATTGCTGATCACTTTACACACCCACCGACCGATGAAATTGACCATGCGTTCTTAGAGTTGATCACCAGACGTTTAGTTGATGGCCGCCTTCTAAACCTTCAATTGCGCGCGTTTCTCAAAGACTGCAGTTGGCCGGCGTATTGCTGCCTACTTTTGTGCCGGCACCGACTGTGACAACGGCGACCACAACACCGACGACGAGAGCAGCGTTCCATTCCGATCAGAACCGATTGTGCTTGTTCTGACGATCAGCCAGCCCACAGCGAAAACAAAAGCACAAAAAAATGCAACAACGACACCGAGCGTGTGTCGTTCGTGCGCCCAGCTGTTTAAATCCGTTTGCTCAGTGGAGCAGTGGAGGCTCTAAAAAGTCATATAAACAAACGGTCAAGCAAGTGAGTCAAGTGTGCGCGGCTGAGTAGCTTCCGTTTGCGTGTGTAAGCCTGTGTGTGTTAGTGGCCTCACAGCAGTGAGTTAACATCATAATCAGTCAAAATCGTAGTAGAGCTGCGCAATTTTTGTTGTTCCTCCTTTAAGTCTAGCTGCTGTTAGTCGGTAAATGATGCTAACTGCCGTGCTGTGTGGTGTAGCGGTGTGCGTGAGTGTAAGAGAGTGAGTGAGTGGCTGAGAGAGAAAGTGTTATCGACAAGATCTGCGTTGTTGTATTGGCGATTAAGCTACCGATTGTTTACATTTGAAGCTGAGCAAGTGATAAGAAGTAGCTGCATGCGTTAAAGGTAAACAAATAGTTTGAGGGCTACATAGTTGGGTACATTCGTAACAGGGTAGGAATGGTTCTCGTTGTGACAGCTTCAACAACGTTATGTCATAGTGATTCCATGGTGATACGAGGGTGTTGAATTTAGTTTCATTGCGCAACCCCACTTTTACCAATTGGCTTTTTCCTTTTTTATCTGCAGAAAATCCCAAAAGAAAACTACATCCAAGATAATTCTAATCTTAGCCAAAACAGTACCGTCATCTGAAAGGAGCGCACGACCTTACCACTTTTAAGACAGTACATTCCTTGTGACCTCTTGCGACACCATTTCGAACAAGTTTGTCACAGCCATCTGAATTCCCCTCTATATATCCTGTGAGAAATAGTTAGTTTTGCTTGGCCATCTCCCATGAAAGTCCCTGATTTCCTTCTGACAGGAAGGGGATGTACAGCTGCATAATAGCTAAAACTTCGGCTAGAAATGTTAGTTGAACTCTATTTTAAATTCTTAATTTTATTTCGAAGCATATCTTTTTCCTTAAACTACGCGATGTCTTACGAAAGCTTAGAAAATAATAATTTTTAAACATTTTCCAATCTCCGTCTCGCAGCATATTCACACCCTTTCATTGATAGCGTTCAGTCGCAATTTCAATCAGCTGGTCGTAATCATTGCTAACCAACCAGTTTTTTTGCTGATAATTGTTACAATAACTTGTTGTTGTAATGCTAATGTCGACATTCTTACTCTCAGCGGCGCCTATGCTGCTGAGAACTGCGATCAAAGTACATCTTCGCTCCAGCTGTGGGTTTCCTCGGCTTTACGACGCCACTCTTTTGCTCAAAATAGGTTTACGGCCAAACCAGCAGCGCTCTGAGTCTCTCCCTGCCTACTTATATACATATTTATGAATATCTAAATGTCTAGTGTGTGACGTCGCTATAATTACTACTTATCAGTCATGTTAGCGCGGCAATCATTTGATATCCGTGACTGAGCTGATGGTGGTCCTATTTATTGGTGTTTCCTTTGCCTCACACACAGCCAGCTTTACTACTTATGTAGTATTTATGTACGGGTATAGTATTGTGTGTTTATGTATTTTGTAGTATTTTGCAGTTTGTGCTGTTTTGCTTGAGTTGATCAGATCCGACTTGCTGCTCACGCGCCGCCCCACAATTGATTGCCCGAATTGTTATGCCTGAACTTCTCACAGACTCAATCCAAAGCGCCGCTGTTTATCTTATCCTTTGCGCCTTAATAAGTGATTATTATGCGCGCTCGACGTATTGAATAAATAATTAAATTTCAACGGATCCCACAATTAACTCGATGCCGCGCCAATAACATTCGACAACGACTAAACTCAGGCGGCGATTACTGCCTCGCGGCTCTGCAGCACGACGTGTCGTCACTTTGTTGCCTTTATCGCCGCAGCTTGCAACGCACACCTCTTTGCGATTGAGGCGCATTGATCGTGAGACCGAAGAAATAAAAATCAATTAGCGCGGTAGGTATCGCTGAGTGTCAGTGCGTTTGGGGCAGCAACAACGCTACCAATGGCAAGTGGTAGCTGCTGCAGGAATTAACGAAACATAGTTTATGTACTACTGATCAGTAATTGAACTGCTGAACTGGTTTCCGCTGACAGACAGACAGACGCGCGAGCACGACAGCCAACGCCGTGTTGGTGGCAGTGGTGGCGCATTTATACATACCTACACACATGCACACATATGTATATATTGATTTCTTAGCTTTATAATTTCAGCACTACGTGAAAACTTTTTATTTGCTTGTTGGTATGTACATATGCATGTATGTCTGCAGACTCCTCTTACGTCTCCCATTTTCTCAAGGTCACACTGGTAATTGTCATGTATGTAATTGTTTCAAGTTCAATTCCAAGTTCAATATGAATATGTGTTACGGTATGTTGCAATATGTAATACAAGTGTATGTGTGTATGCTTGTATATGTTTTGTAAATTGCGTAGTAAATTGACCTTGAAATTCTGGAATTGGCACTACGCATTACGCGAATCCGCTTGTTAAACGCAACAACATAACAGCCTCCACCGTGCTGCTGGGATGATCAACGCAATTGGCAATTATGAGAAGTGGCCTAATTTAAATGGCTGCACTACTTTCCAGTGGCTCAAGCTTTGAGGGGGATTGGAAAACAAAAGTCATACTAAACTCCAGCTTAAAGTAACTTTCGACTGTGAACTTAACCTCAATTCGTTCATGATCGAGAGTTGATTCATTCGAGTTTAAAGAGCTTCTATTTTTCTTTGCTTATTTTGCAGACTAATCCGTCTTAGCTATAGACACCTTCATATTAGTGCCGTTGAAATATCCCCATTAAAAATTTACTTCTGCGCCTGCACCTTACTTAGTTCATTGGGTCAGAATTAAGTGCGCCTGTTTTGTACTGTATTAATTTTTAAACAACTTTGTTTCGTTATGTCTCGTTTGTTTCGCTCTTTTTATTGTCTTTCCATTTATTTTACATTCTACATGCAATAATTTTATTACGCACTCTTCACTTGACGGGTGTTTATTTTATTAGTATCACTTACAACTCGTCAACGCGTCGTAATTGCACGCGGATGGCGATCAGCACACGTTGCGAGACTGTGAGCGCAACAAAAAAAGGAATAAAACCCTGCGGAAAGTAGAAATCAGCAATGATGCAGAAAATGAGTAGGGAAGTCTTTTTGTCCGAGTTGCACCAAGTTATGTATATACCCAACGCTTGCTAAAGCGCAGTTAATATCAGTATATCTTTCTTCTAAACGCACTGGTGCAATTCTTTGAACGTAATCACAAAGGAAGAACTCTACTATATCAGAAAGCATTCACTGTCGATCTTAACCGATATAAACCTGAGACAACCAGACTGATTTATTGACTTCCAATTTGACATTTAAAACCATCTTGAGAGCCGTTGATTGGCTCTACTAAGCTCCTAAATGTAGGTAATGTTTTATAGCAATTTGCTCCGGCAAACTTCCAACTTCCAAAACTGTTTTTAAACTCTGAGCGCAAAAATGATGACCGGTGCGAAAACTTTCGAAGCTACACGTACGCTTAGGTTCCGTTGGAAGAAATATGACACAAAATTTAAACATATTATCTGCGGGACTTAAATAGAAAGCCTATGAACCTCGCAAACACATGGATTGGGTATAAGAAAAAATACTTCAAAATAAATGCACGAGAGCCACCAAGAGATTGAGCTCGTAAAAAAGTAATTGTTCAATACCTACAAACACACATCCATAGACGAAGCGACTCTTTATACAGTTCACAGCAGCAGCCTTGATGTGCAAAATGTTGCTGACGAGATAACGTTGTTGAACTTGTTGGTGCTTCTGCATCGACTTCAGCGATCGTAAATGTTGCACTTGTTGTTATGACTTTACATTTTGCTTCTTCTTCTTTTAAATAAAGTGGAGCAGCATTGCTAACGCAACACAACCACTGGTCTCTTTTAAGGGATCTCCATAAGGCTACGGTGCTCAGCGCTTAGAAAACGAATAAAAACTGGTTGCTGTATTGATGAGAGCCGCATGAGAATGCCCACTTAAACTGGGGTGAGGTGGGCAGGGAGGCTTAGATTATAACTAGTGAATGAGTACTATATTAGCAGATGAAACAAAAAATGGGGTATAACAACAAGGAAAATAATTACAATACAACAACACAATACACACGCAATTACACAACGACTGGAGGAGGCGCGTTTGAGGAGCAGTAGGTATGGCGGCGCGGTGGCGTTGTGTTGGAAATGTGCCGTCACTTAACTCGGCCACTCGAACAATAGGTTTTGATGCATGGAAGTATGGAGGGAGATATTGATGTCGGCTGCCACTGGCTGGTGTGCAAAAAGTGATATGAATTAAAAAGTGAACAAGAAACTATGTGAATCGTCTGTGTACTTACATATGGGCTTTATGCTTTTCGTATTAATGTGTGGGCAGGAGTTTAGGTATCAGAAAAAGATTTGTTTGGCCTAATATTTTAATAAACTCATCATTGAAGTGATGAATGGAATGAAGGCAGCAACGAGTTCATCCGATTGTCTGGAATTGCTTGATATATCAAGAAGTACTCTTTTTGGAAGACTTCCGCTTAATCACTAGTTTTTAGTGAGACTTATGGGCTACAATACTTAGTGGTTTGGACGTTGTTCTCTTTTTTTCAGAATGAACATTTAAAATGGAGACGACAAAGGTTTTATAGCTGATAGGGACGAAGTTAAACTCCAACTCCATCCTGAAAACCCAAGTAATCGAACCTTTTCTGGACTTGGGACCCTCGATGTAAAAATCTGCTCCAATGGACAGGTTCACCAAGCCCTGGATTGGATACTAAGTAATATGATTGCATTGCTTGAACCTAGAATGCTCGGTTCCTT